TGTGTGTGTGTGTGTGTGTGGACAGCATCACTAACATACTTGCGCTCACAACGCAGTAGCACAGAAACAGACAAAAACACACTATAAGGATGAGCACATAATTGACTGCTCTACTTGCGCCAAGAACTCAGCCTAAAGGATACTCCGGGCATGTTTCTCTTTGACAGGGGTCTCTTGTGTGTTGATCGCCTTGTTCAGGGCCACCGTCTGTGGATGAATTATAAGTTACGTTTCAGTCAGAGTTTTACGGCATTTGCGAAACAATTAGGCTTTATAAGAGCCGAAGTTTGAGGTATTACAAAAGACTTAGTCACATATAAAGTTTAGAAAAGAAGGAGGAGAGCTGATAAGGACGATAGATTTTTGATAAGAAAGAAGGAGCAAACGACAACGGAGCGCCCGCAAACAACCCGCTCAGAGGATGGAACAGGGGAGGATGATTTAAGTAAGAGTTTAACGGCATGTGCAACACAATTAGGTCATAACAGTGCCGAAGATGTATAAGGGGTCACAAGAGATTAACAAACACAAAAAGAAGGAGAGATAAAGGACGATAGATGTTTGATAGAAAAAAAAGAACATAGCACACCAGAGTATCTGCCAACCACCCGCTGATGGGGCTGAACAAACAAAAAAAAACCCCCAAAAAACAATGACAACAAAGAAACAAACTCAATACATGTATAATGTCTTCCAAATCCTTCCATATAATTTTTGGCTCAAATGTGGATTGAAACCTAGGTCGCTGCCACGCAGTCCGGCTCAAATAGCTCTCTTATAAATCTAAGACACCTCCCTCCCCCCCTCCCCTCTCACCCCCACCATTCTACTCTCAACCCGACCCCGTGGTCTAAACGCCCAACTGTTTTGTTTGTTTGAGTAAAGAGTAGCACATCGACACAATAACGGCAGTTTAGTGCTAGAAAAAAGTAAGACAGACAGAAACAGAGGGGAAAGTAAAGAAGTAGGACCTACCAGTGGCGCCCTCCAACCACCTACTAAAACGTCCAAATCTTATACGGGGTGCCCACTACGGATGGGATCGGCGGATCGGCGGATCGGGCCGATCGCCCGACTCGGTCGCCTAAAAATCAAACGTGTTGGTTTTTAGTTTCAGGCGACCGCGTCATGCGACCGAGTCGGGCGATCGGCCAGATTCAGCTGTAGTGGGCACCCCACCCTCCGTCGGATCCTGACAACAGCAGTGTCATAATACAATATTTATAATATCATGGTGAGCAGGAAGTACTACCGAATTGTCCAAGACGGCCACCCATTGTCGAGGAGAAAAGTGGTTTGTCTTAGACAGGTGCACGCCATGGACAATGTCATAATTATAATATAAAAAACGCAAAGTGTGTATGTGTGTGTGTGTGTGTGAGGGGGGGAGGCGGTTGTACAGGTGATTGTCCAGAACAGGTTCCATTGTGTCTACTCCCGTTTTAATGCTATAGGTTGTCCCATGAATCCGTCCCTCTCAGACTGGTAGAGTATCCTCCAAATTAACGCAAACTTCAGAGACAAAAAACAAAAAAGGGTCATGTCATTTCAATTTTTAAAATATTTTTTGGGGGGTGGGGGGTGGGGCAAAATAGCTCCCGAAACAAAAGAAACCTGGGATTCAAATGTAAATTCAAACCCAGGTCGCTCGACGCATAGTTAATGTAAGACACCTCCCAACCCCACACACACGCACAAACACGCTGCCCACCCACCACCACCCCCCCC